CCCCTCTCCCCAACACCTCTCCCCAACGACTCTCCCCACTCCTCTCCCCCCCCCCCCGCCACGCCGTCTCCCCATTCCTCTCCCCTGTCCTCCCACTCCTGTCCCCTCTCCCCAACCTCTTGACAAACCTCTCCCCCACTCCTCTCTTCTCCCCATTCCTTCTCCCTTGTCCCCTCACCCCACCCCTCCCTCCCCTCTCCCCCACCCCTTTCCCCAACTTCCTGACCATCCTTCTCCTCATCCTCCATCCCCTCCTCCCCTACCCCTCTCCCCATCCTGCCTCCCCTCTCCCCTACCCCTCTCCCCATCCTCCCTCCCCTCTCCCCCACCCCTCTCCCCAACTTCCTGACCAACCTTCTCCCCATCCCATCCCCTCTCCCCCACCCCTCTCCCCCACCCCTCTCCCCCACCCCTCTCCCCAACTTCCTGACCAACCTCCTCCCCATCCTCCCTCCCCTCCTCCCCCACCCCTCTCCCCATCCTCCCTCCCCTCCTCCCCCACCCCTCTCCCCATCCTCCCTCCCCTCTCCCCCACCCCTCTCCCCAACTTCCTGACCATCCTTCTCCTCATCCTCCATCCCCTCCTCCCCTACCCCTCTCCCCATCCTGCCTCCCCTCTCCCCTACCCCTCTCCCCATCCTCCCTCCCCTCTCCCCCACCCCTCTCCCCAACTTCCTGACCAACTTTCTCCCCATCCCATCCCCTCTCCCCCACCCCTCTCCCCCACCCCTCTCCCCCACCCCTCTCCCCAACTTCCTGACCAACCTTCTCCCCATCCCCCTCCCCTACCCCCCCACATTGTTATTCTTGGCGATCGTTTTCCTGAATGAAAAACGAGAGGCGTCCCTTCGACGGCCCAGCTTGCAGTCAAGGGCCTTCCTGTGCTTTCGCCTTAACCCCTCCCCCCCCCCCCCCCCCCCGCCCGTCCCTCGCCGATACGTGGGGTGCCTTTGACTGTCTGCTTTCCTGGTTACTTGTTTGTTTGTTTATTTGTTTGTCTGTGTGTTTTTGTTTTCTTTTTTTCTTTTTTTCTGCTATTTTTTTATTCTTATTCTTTTTCTTTTTTCTTTTGTTTTGTTCTTTCTTTTTTCTTCTGTGTTTTCGTGTTGTTGTTTTGTTGTTTTATTGTTGTTACTGTTATCATCACTGTTTTGATTGTTATCGGCATTAGTATCATAATGATTATGGTTAATATTATCCATATTATCATTGTTATATTTACCATTTTCATTATTATTGTTATTATTATATTATAAATATGACAGCATTATTACTGTTATCATTATAATTATTATTATTATCACCATCGTTATTATTCCTATTGTTACTAGCATTATCAGTATTATTATATTATTATTATTATCATCATCATCATCATCATCATCATCATCATCATCATCATCATCATCATCATCATCATCATCATCATCATCATCATCATCATCATCATCATCATTATCATTATTATTATTATTATTATCGTTTTTGTTGTTATTATCATTATTATTATTATCATTATTATCATTTTTATTATCATCATCATTATTGTAAATATTATTATTATTATTATTGTTGTTATAATTACTATTATCATTATGAATATTATCATCATTATTATTATTATTATTATTATTATTATTATTATTATTATTATTATTATTATTATTATTTTTACTACTACTACTACTACTACTACTACTACTACTACTACTACTACTACTACTACTACTACTACTACTACTATTATTATTATTATTGTTATTGTTATCATCATTATCATTATCATTATTATCATTATTATCACTACCATCTTTGTTATTGTCATTATCATCATTTTTTTATTGTCATTATTATCATTTTTTATTGAAAGCTTCTATCTGTCCTTTACTTACTTCTCTTGTTCTCTTTAAACTAATTTGTTTCTTTCTCTTTGTTAACATTATCACGAATGTACTTTTTTTGTTTGTCATTTGTTGTTGTTTATAGTAATATTTCCATTTAAGGAGAAAACCCAGTAATATTCATTCACTATTATTACCAGTGTAAAAAAAGGTATAAACGAGAATTTAATAACTTCATTAAGCAAGAGATACGACTGACGCGTTTTGATTAAATATCTGTCAATTTATTTTATTTTAGTCATTTATTTATTTATTTATTACAATGAATTTCAATACCACTAATCGATTTCCATGCAAATAGCTACAATACATACCTCACCATGCATCATATTTAATCAGTATTTTATCACTGTGGGTCAGTATACATCTTCGACCCTGCCAAATATGTGTCTGAGAGTATATGTAGCCACCAAGATAGTTAGGCAACATGGTACGGTAGATAACGTGATAGATTGCATAGCCAGGCAGCGTAGAAGATAGAGAGATACAGTGGCAGACACCGTAGCAGAGACCATTGGGAAAGCTATCATAAACAGACAATAAATTTGGAAGACGGTATAGTACAGGAGACAGTGCGGTGGCAGTCACCGCGTAGCACAGGAGACAGCGTGGCAGACAGGACAGCCAGACAGCGTGGCGACCTTACATATCATAGAAGGCTCTCCTCTCTGACTCAAATTTACATGTCTCAAATGTCCATCTTTTACATTTACGAGATCCTTTGACACTATCACATTTACATAATATTTCCACGCGAGATAAAGAGCGCCTGGGGAACGATGATGGTATTGCGCATCCCTCTCCTCTTCTGTTTTGCTTCGTAATCCACGAATGGATGAGTTTGCGAGATTCGTATTTGAGCGCAAACAGATCCAGTCATACTTTTCTTTCCTTTTCGTTTCTTTTTTCTGTCTTTCTTCCTTTTTTCTTTTCTCTTTCTTTTTTTCTCTCTGGAAAAGAGGAAGTGAAAGTTTCTTTGTTCAATAAGATGCACGTGAATCTCCGCGTGTCTTTGTTTATATTTGGACGATTCCTGGTAAACACATGGACGAACAACCTTTTTTCCATTTCATTTTACGTTTCTTCTTCTTCTTCTTCCTCTTCTCTTTTACCTACTACTAATGCTACTACTACTTCTTTTTGTTCTTTTTTCTTCCACTTTCTGTGCCTTAGTTTATCTTTTTTTCCTATCATTTGTTTTTGTGTACACTGTCTGTCGATATCAATGCATATCTTTTATTTATTTATTTATTTATTTATATTTCCTCCTTTTATGTATTTCGCCTCTTTCTTGATTTCCTTCCTATTCTACTAAGAGAGAGAGAGAGAGAGAGAGAGAGAGAGAGAGACAGACAGACAGACAGACAGACAGGCAGACAGACAGACAGACAGACAGATAGACAGACAGATGGAAAGATACCAAAATGCAAAGAAAAGGAGACACACACAAAGAGAGGAAAATATTATCAAACGAAACAGAATGAAAATTAAAAGAGAGAGAGAGAAAAGAAAGAAACAAGGAAAAAGAGAGAGAGAGAGAGAGACCGAGCAAGCCTCCCACACAAGATGCAAATTCGATGCAAAATCAGAAACCCGAGGCAGACGCTCGCCCCGCCAGATAGATGCGACAGGTGGACAAATATGGTCCTGGGCGGCGAGAGTAATCGAGTGACCGAGCTACTCTGGCGGATTAGCGCGGGCGATGCTGTTGTTGTCAAGGTCGTGGTGGGCGGGGATGGGCGGTTAAGGGGCGTCGGTGGTGGGCAGTGGGTTGTTAAGGGGCGTCGGTAATGGGTAGTGGGCGTGTAGGGGCGTCGGTGGTGGGTAGTGGGCGGTTTAGGAGCGTCGGAGGTGAGTAGTGGGCGGTTTAAGGGCATCCGTGGTGGGTAGTTGGTGGTTAATGGGTAATGGGCGGTTAGGGGTTTCTATGGCGAGTAGTGGGCGGTTAGGGGCGATTAGGGGTGAGTAGTGGGTGGTTTAGGGGCGTCGGAGGTGAGTAGTGAGCGGTTAGGGGTCGTCAGGGGTGAGTAGAGGGCGGTTTAGAGACGTCAGTAGAAGGCGGTTAAGGGGCATTTGTTGTGGGTAGAGGGCGGTTTAGGGGCGTCGGTTGTGGGTATAGGGTGGTTATGGGGCGTCGGTGATGAGCAGAGGATGGTGGTGGGCGGAGGACAGTTCAGGGGCGTCCTTAGTGGGTAGTGGGTGGTTAAGGTGAGTCGGTGGTGGGTGAAGGGCTCTTTAGTGGCGTCAATGGTGGGTAGTGGGCGTTAGGGGCGTCGTTGGTTGATAGTGGGTGGTTAGGTGGCTCCGGAGGTAGGTAGTTGGCGATTTAGGGGCGTCGGTGCTGGGTAGTTTGCGGTTTCGGGGCGTCATTGGTTGATAGCGGGCGGTTTAGTGGCGTCGGAGGTGGGTAGTGGGCGGTTTAGGGGCGTCGGTGGTTGAAAGTGGGCGGTTTAGTGGCGTCGGAGGTGGGTAGTGGGCGGTTTAGGGGCGTCGGTGGTTGAAAGTGGGCGGTTTGAGGGCATCGGTGGTTGAAAATGGGTGGTTAAGAATCGACAGTGGTTGATAGTGGGCGGTTAGGGGCGTTGGTGGTTGATATTGGGCGGTTAAGGGGCGTTGGTGGTGGGCAGTGGGTTGTTAAGGGGCGTCGGTAATGGGTAGTGGGCGGGTAGGGGCGTCGGTGGTGGGTAGTGGGCGGTTTAGGAGCGTCGGAGTCGGAGCGTCCGTGGTGGGTAGTTGGTGGTTAATGGGTAATGGGCGGTTAAGGGCGTCTGTGGCGGGTAGTGGGTTGTTAAGGGGCGTCGGTGGTGGGTAGTGGGCGGTTTAGGGGCGTCGGTGGTGGGTAGTGGGCGGTTTAGGGGCGTCGGTGGTGGGTAGTGGGCGGTTTAGGGGCGTCGGTGGTGGGCAGTGGGTTGTTAAGGGGCGTCGGTGGTGGGTAGTGGGCGGTTTAGGGGCGTCGGTGGTGGGTAGTGGGCGGTTTAGGGGCGTCGGTGGTGGGCAGTGGGTTGTTAAGGGGCGTCGGTGGTGGGTAGTGGGCGGTTTAGGGGCGTCGGTGGTGGGTAGTGGGCGGTTTAGGGGCGTCGGTGGTGGGTAGTGGGCGGTTTAGGGGCGTCGGTGGTGGGTAGTGGGCGGTTTAGGGGCGTCGGTGGTGGGCAGTGGGTTGTTAAGGGGCGTCGGTGGTGGGCAGTGGGTTGTTAAGGGGCGTCGGTGGTGGGTAGTGGGCGGTTTAGGGGCGTCGGTGGTGGGTAGTGGGCGGTTTAGGGGCGTCGGTGGTGGGCAGTGGGTTGTTAAGGGGCGTCGGTGGTGGGTAGTGGGCGTTAGGGGCGTCGGTGGTGGGTAGTGGGCGTTAGGGGCGTCGGTGGTGGGTAGTGGGCGGTTTAGGGGCGTCGTGTGGCGGTTTAGGGGCGTCGGTGGTTGAAAGTGGGCGGGTTTGAGGGCGTCGGTGTTTGAAAATGGGTGGTTAAGAATCGACAGTGGTTCATAGTGGGCGGTTAGGGGCGTTGGTGATTGATATTGGGCGGTTAAGGGGCGTTGGTGACGGGTAGTCTGTAGTTAAAGGACATCAGAAGTTAATACGTTACGGTTAGGAACGTAGGCAGTAGGCGGTGGGCGGCGAACGCGTCAAACTCAATAAATGTTTCGTCCGACCCGATAAATGTCTATTGTGGTTCGGCTTTATCTGTTACCACCTTACAGATCACGTTCCTACGTTTCTCGGAAAGGATAATTCTCGGAAGGGGATACGGGAATATCCTGTTTTGCACGTGTTTCAGATTTTATTTATTTACTTTGTTTTTCGTCTCCTGTTTTTTTTTTCTCTCTTTTTTTTTTTTTCTTTTTTTTTCTTTTTTTTTTCTTTTGCTCCGCTGTGCATTTATTTCCAAACTTTCTGGTTTCTGTTGCTCGCTTGTTTTTTGTGCGTGCGTACAGGGTGAAAGAGTATATTTTGTATTTTCTTTTCTTACTTGAAGTATTTTCAACTGAACATCAGTAGTAATAATATTAGTAGAAGCAGTAGTAGTAGTAGTAGTAGCAGTAGTGGCAGTATTAGTAGTTTTAGTAGTTGTGGTAATAATAATAATAGTAATAGTGGTACTAACATAAACAGAAGTAGCAATAATAATATTGCTAATAAAAATAATGATAATGATGATGATAATTATTATTATTATTATTATTATTATTATTATTATTATTATTATTATTATTATTATTATTATTATTATTATTATTATTATTATTATTGACTACATAATGATAATAATAATAATAATAAGAAGAAGAAGATTTTTTAAATAACAATAAGAAGAAGAAGAAGAACAGTAGTGGTAGTAATTATAATAATGATAACAACAAAGAAGATAATGATAACGATACTAATAACAAATATAGAAAAAGAAAAAGAAAAAGAAAGTAAGAATAGTGGTAGTAGAAGCAGTAATAATGGTAGAAGTAATGATAATAATGATAACCCTAATGAACATAATAATAACGATATTCCTAACAACGATAACCATATTCCCCTAAACACTCGAACGATAACACGGAGATTACAGCATAAAACCAACCCTGGTGCCAAAGCGTGTAAGATCCTGCGTCGCTCAT